GTCGACGTTGAATTTCATCTGCCATTTTTCAGACCATTCGAAAAATTTGTTTAGATCTTCCTGTAGTTTTGCCGAGTCCTCGTCAGATTTAATAACACGTCCTATTTTAGTGTCATCAGCAAATTTACTTATGTTGCTGTCTATGCCGATATCTATGTCGTTTATGTATATAATAAATAATAATGGTCCAAGTACTGAGCCTTGGGGAACTCCACTTGTGACGTTGCTCCAATGGGACTTAGTGCCGTTAATGCTCACTCGCTGTTTCCTGTCCTGTAACCACGCCCTAATCCATTTAAGGATGTCACCTTTGATGCCATGTGCTTCTACCTTTCAAATTAGTCTTTCGTGGGGGACTCTGTCGAAGGCTTTGCTAAAGTCGAGATATACCACATCATAATTGTGCCCCTCGTCCACCGATTCGAAAACTGATGAAAAGAATGTTAATAGATTAGTTAGGCAAGAAGTCCGCTTGTGAAGCCATGCTGGGAATCATTGATCAATTGGTGCTTCTCCAGGTGATTTCGAATAGAGTTTGAGATGATTGCTTCCAGTAATTTGCCTACTATTGATGTTAGACTGATTGGGCGGTAGTTAGAGGATAGTGATCTATCCCCCTTCTTGAAAATCGGTATTACATTCGCTATCCTCCAGGATTCTGGTACTACACCTGTTTTTAAGGACATGTTAAACAACTTTGCTAAGGGCATACTAAGCTCTTCCTTACATTCCTTTAATACTCTGGCAAATATCTCATCGGGACCAGGTGACTTATTAGGCTTTAGTTTGTCTATTTGCTTACTAACATCGTTACTAGTCACTACTATCTCACTTAATTTGTTTTCTTCACTATCTCTGAATAGAGTCGGTGCCTCGGGTATCATGTTTAAATTTTCGGTGGTGAAAATTGTTGAAAAATATTTATTCAAATTATTGCTCATTTCTCTGTCGTTATCAGTGAGCTCGCCGGTGTCTGACCGTATTGGTCCAATCTTTTCTCGTGTTTTAGCTTGATACATTTGGTAGAATCCTTTGGGGTTTGTCTTCGCCTCCCTTGCTACCCTTACCTCATTATTCCTCTTTGCTTTCCTTATCTCGGTTTTAACCCTACTCGACAATACCCTATAATAGTCCCGGAGGTGAATTTCGCCACGATTTATCCTTCTACCTATAGCCTTCCTTTGGCCAATGATGTTCCTTAAATAATTATTAATTCATTTAGGGTCATTGTTGTTTGATCTGAGTTTTTTGTATGGTATGTTCTGCCTTTGTGCATTAAGTAACTCACTATTTAAATTGTCGTGGAACTCGGCAATCTCAGATCTCGTTATCAGGTCGGTGTCATCTGACAGGTTCACGGCCAAGCGCGACACCCCCTCTTTAAACTGTCAAAGTTCGCCCTTCTGAAATCTGGTACTTTAGTGGAATTTTCCTTACGTCTGCCCTGAAAATCTAACTGGAATCTAATTTCTTTGTGATCGCTGTTTGCAAATTCGTTCCCTACCTCGACCCTGCTAATGAGGTTTTCTCTGTTTGACAGAACTAAATCGAGTACATTATTACCCCGTGTGGGTTCAGTTATATGTTGACTTAGGAAACAGTCCTGGATAGTCTCGAGAAAATCCTCTGATTCTGAGTTACCCGTAAGGTCAGTCCAATCTATTTGGCCAAGGTTAAAGTCGCCTACTATACAGACTTTGTTGTGTATGGAAGCCCTGCGCATTTCATCCCAGATAAGTCGCTCATTGACTCTGTCAAGATTGGGAGATCTATATATTACTCCTGTGATTAATTTTTCTCTACCGTCGATTAATTCTATCCAAATTGTTTCTGTATTCCGCTCAGTTTTTATTTCCTTATTTATTTCACACTTCAGATTATCCCTAACATAGATTGCTACTCCGCCTCCTTTCCTGGTCTGCCTATCGGTATGGAACAGTTTGTAACCCGCAATTTGGTATTCGACTGGACCGAGAATGGAACCTTGAGGGACGCCATACAAAATTGGTCCTCACCAATACAATATAGATTCAACAATTATAGAAACTCGGCTTCAGACAACGTCTATTGCAATAACTCTCTTGTGCAAAAGTTGCAAAATATCTATGAATCAATATTGCAAATATCCACCACACACACACCCTTGCATCACATCTGCCAACAAAGTGACTACAGTATATGCAACAATAGCATAATGCATGTTGCCAAATTGTATGTGATAACATGTCCCACAATACAAAAACATCTCCCACAATACAACAGGCTCCCTTCCTTCCTCCCTCCCTCTCATCCTTCCTACTTCCCTTTTGATCCCCCTTCCCACTCACTCTCTCCCACTCCTCTCTTATACTCCCTGCCTCCTCTCCCCCCCCCATCACCAGGTCACCGCTCTCTCCCTCACTCCTGTCAGAGAGAGAGAGAGAGAGAGAGAGAGGTACTGGGTATTTAGTCACATAGGTAAGGTAGGTAAGTAGGTACATAATTAAAAGGTGAGATAAGGTAAGGTGAGGTGAGGTGAGGTAAGATAAGGCAAGGTGAGGTGAGGTAAGGTGAGGTAAGGCAAGGTGAGGTGAGGTAAGGTGAGGTAAGGCAAGGTGAGGTGAGGTAAGGTGAGGTAAGGCAAGGCGAGGTGAGGTAAGGTGAGGTGAGGTGAGGTAAGGTAAGGTGAGGTGAGGTGAGGTAAGGTAAGGTGAGGTAAGGCAAGGTAAAGTAAGGTAAGGTGGTCATGGTGCCAGCTGGGTATTGCATCATCACGTGACCTTGGCTTATGACGTCACCGCCACCCCCCCCCCTACCACCTCACTATGCCCATACCCTCTATAATACCTTCTTCAGTAAATACCGTAATTGTTCACTAATAAACTATTAAGTAATCACTATATTACTTACATCTGTTATTACTATGTGTGTGAATGTTTATATATAAATTTTTTTTAAGTATTTTGATAATGAACGAAATCTTTGCTTGTTTACCGAGTGTTGTTTTTTGCGGTGGATAAATTCGCGAGAATGTTTGTAAATTGATGAGGTCATTTTTCGGTGGTTAAAGAATTGTTCATTACCTAATAGCTGGTGTTGTTCACGAAGTTATTCACTGAGTTATATTCATCCATCTATCTGTTCATGTGGGTAACAATAACTGTTCATGTCATTATTTTTATTGTTATTGTTGTTGTTGTTGTTCTTCTTCTTATTATTATTATTATTATTACTCTTCTATATAAAGGTCAGGTTTTTTTAGCATGTGTCTCAGCCAGTTGTCTAGCATGTGTCTCAGCCAGTTGTCTAGCATGTGTCTCAGTCAGATTTCTAGTATGTGTCTCAGCCAGGTGTCTAGTATGTGTCTCAGCCAGATTTCCAGCATGTGTCTCAGTCAGTTGTCTAGCATGTGTCTCAGCCAGGTGTCTAGCATGTGTCTCAGTCAGTTGTCTAGCATGTGTCTCAGCCAGGTGTCTAGCATGTGTCTCAGTCTTCATGATCTTACTAACAGACTATTCCAGGCTGTCTTGGTCGCCTCCCCATCCTCTTGTACCATAACCTAACCTAACCCAACCGAATCTAACTCAACCACGACACATTAATAACTTTTCCTACAGTATGTTGCGTCCACACCGCCTCCCTTGGCCCCCATTTTATCTTTACAACTCACACTAATCTATCTATGCTTGTCTATTCATCTATATTCTATAATATCTATCAACCTTTTCACCAGATAATTATTCTGTAGTGAGATATATTCATTCACTATAATGCATTGTTGATACAGATATAAGAAAAGTAAATATTATTACAATTTGTTATGACATTTGGGAGGGATAAGGCAAAACGGGTGGAGGAGCCAGTCCACCGCCCTAGAGGAGACCAGGTAATGCAGGTACATAAAGTGATGAGGCATTGCCGCGCGGGTCAGTGTTACACGTGCCGTCGTGGGGACAGGACCGCTCACGAGCTCCTCCATTCTCGAGGGGGAGGAGGAGAGAAGGACAAGACTGGACAAAGAAAGTGAAAGGAGAACTAGTGAAAGTGTCAGTGGAGCGTGAAATGCAAGGTGCCGTGGAGGGTGAGATGGTGAGGCTGACTCGGCAGGTTGTCGCGCGAAAGTTATGTACAGTTATTTTAAATATCCTGCCCTGTCATTTCCACCATTACAGATGACTCTTATATACTGTATTTAACAATAGAGAAAAACTAATATAAAGCTCATTTTTCCATATAAAGGAAATTTGGGTATATTGTTTTCTTTATTTCAACGAAAACGGCTGTAAAGTTGCTTTGTACTTAGTATTAAATTAATTTCCATAGATCAACAGATGCAAGTTTTTGTCACAATTCTTTATTTGTAACTAAACAAGAAAATAATAGTCCAATAATGTTTTTACACAGAAAAATTATAATCAAACAAATACGAAGAGAAAATGTTTATAAAAAGTCTTATTTCACGTAAAGCCGGTTAAGAAATTCTTGTTTTAAGCCGATATATATATATATATATATATATATATATATATATAAACGTCACCGTAATCTTTTCATGTAAAGTAAACAGTTGCTGTGTCGTTTAAACATTACGATAATAAATATCCCATATAATTCTTTAACAAAATATAACTACCCAGAGACCGAGTGTTTTTTTAAGGCATCCTAGCTAAACCTAACAAACTGTGTTAAGATACACTAGACAAAACTAAACCACAACGGTGTAGGCAGAGAGGCGCTTAACCTGGAAATGTAATGATTCAGGAAGAACTAGTGTTGAGGGCCAGGAAGAACAAATATGGCGTGTAGAACAAAACGAACAGATCTGAACAGTGAACAAACTTTCAAGATACTCGGCAGCCACTGTAGATACGATTGAATCTTTAATTTGCTGTGCCGATTGATTCTTAAATGCTGTAAAAAATTACCTAATTATAAACTTTCTCGATGTTAATTATATTTATGTTGAGTATAATTGTATTAATATTAATTTATAATATTATCTTTCAATTTTACTTACCCATGTGTTTCGTGTCCAGGTCCACTGGTGGTACCGTGACAACAATGCGTGACGAATGACAACAATGAGTGACAGCAATAAATGACGAGTGACAACAATGAGTGACAGCAATAAACGACGAGTGACAACAATGAGTGACAGCAATAAACGACGAGTGACAACAATGAGTGACAGCAATAAACGACGAGTGACAACAATGAGTGACAGCAATAAACGACGAATGACAACAGATTAAGCGCCGTCGCTTCTTCAGTGTGCGGATTCACTCCATTCACTCACATCTTAATTACTCATTTAATGGCTCACTCCCTCATTCCCAATGGCCCACCTCTCTCTCTCTCTCTCTCTCTCTCTCTCTCAACACAAACAGGACCAACAATCTGCATGTTGCTAGTGACAAACAAACAAACACAGCCTCACCTGACAGTTGCCACCTGGCAACCACACCGTGTTTTTAGTAGTGTCTTTGTTGCTTTGTTTGATTGGCTCACAGTTGGCCACCTCTTGTGCTTCAGAAACCTTACTATACCTATTGATTCTTCTTCTTCTTCTTCATTATCTTGCGGATATATCTCTAGGTCTCTCTACATATCTCTAAATATTTACATCACCCTCCTTCTCTCTTTCTCTCTCTATCCCACTTACTCCCACTTGCCTTCATCAGGGCTCAGAGGGCAGCACACTCGCCCAGACGTTAGCGGGGAGACAGGTTCGACCCCAGACGAAGTCAGGGTCAACAGCTAGCTCGCCAACACCAGCCCAGAGTCTCAGAGATAAATGTGATGAATGTTCCTCTTAAGTGATGATATAAAAATCCACGTAACACAAAAGAATCAATATGTCATCAGAATTAGCACTGAGACTCGACCTTAACAAGATACGTTCACTTCGCATCAGTTAGGAGACGAAATTAACACTGAGACTCTACCTTAACAAGATACGTTCACTTCGCATCAGTTAGGAGACGAAATTAACAGTGACTCTACCTTAACCTACTTACTCTACAGTTTACACGGTGCTTACTCTACACGGTACTCTACACGGTAATTTTTTTTACTGGAGTTGGAATCAAGAGGTGAAGTAAGATGGAAGTTTTTTTTCTTATATAATGACCTCTTGTGTAACTGAATGACATAACTTCCTTTTCCTATTCTTTTTCCTCCCCTTCCTCCTCCTCCTAACTCTACCACTTTCTGGCTGATTTTTCCTCTTTCTCTCGTCTTCGCACTCTCTCGTGGTTCACTTTATCTATATCGTTCTCTCTCTCTCTCCTCTAATATGTCTACGTGTTGTTTTCTCTCACTCTCGCTCTTTCTAGTTCTCTCTACTTTATTCATTTCACTTTCTCTCTCTTCCCTGTTCATTTCTATCTCTCACCCTCTAGACGAGTCCAAAGAATCCGAATTATAATCCTTGAAAATCTGAGGTCGAATCATTAGGAGCTAGAAAAACAGCCTTTCCATCAACCTGCATTCAGCATTCCTAGTTAGTTATACTCAGTTTCTCCCCCACTCCCAGTCACCGTGAAGTGAGAGTAATAAGTAAAAAAGAAAAAGAATAAAAATGCACCTTTCTAAATGTTCTAACATATACTCACGAACATTCGAATCATCAAAGCGAAACAGTTGACGAACGCGGCGGAGAGATTTGACGATAGAGTCAGTTAGTGTCCGAGTCAGCGGGGAAGTGAATGGTCGCTTACAGTCCGTGGCCTAACACAGTCCGCGGCGCCTCTCAAGTGCAGACGATCCACTCCAAAAGATGGGATGGAGGCGACTAGTTCTTCAGTGTGTGATTTGGTCCGCAGTCACCTGAGCGCGTGAGTTATATAGTTCAGCTTTATTACATAATAATACAGTACTAACTTGATCTTTTTTGCAGAATGTTTTGGGAGAAAATAAATAATTAAAGCATCCACTACACGCACACTTCAAGCTGGTATCATGAACATACAGCACAAGTGTTCAGGTTTATCTCTTAGTGTTCAGCATGAGGTAACCACTCCAGCATCGTGTAAGGCGTCTCCACTTGTCATGCTGACGAGGACGAGTGAGTCGAGGGGTCAGTGCCGTCTGTATCAAACTGAGTGTCGTCAGTGTACAGTTACCTGACACACACAGTATACTCACCCTGGCAACCCTTACACCTCTTATGTTCGAGATTAAAATGTCAACAGCACAACTTTGGACAAAGTACCAGCCAATGTGAGTTTGCATCTCCCTCGACCAGTCTAATTCCTACATGAGAATGTACTACATCACTTTTTGTACATAACTATATTGGGAAAAAGACTTGGGTGTGGTGGTAGAGCGATCACTGAAGACAGCTCAGCACGCTGGGGCAACACTGAAGAAAGTCAGCAATATCTAAGAGTCATAAACCATATTTTTTTTATGTAAAGACAAGAAAATGCTCACTCAAATCTACAAACATGGAGACCGCACCTGCAAAAAGCCATCACTAGAAAAAACTCAATTCGGAGCAACTAGAATGATTCGTTTAAAATAATTTATATTGGCAATACACGTTAAGCTGAGGACCTTGGGGCTGACAACTCTTCAGACAAGACAAACTAGGGAGGACCTCGTGGACATCTAAAATCCTAAAAATTATAGAAAACGTTAACCCAGTTCCCTTCTTCAAGGGCCACGAACACAGAGATCACAGCTTCAACCTCGCCAAGGAAACATAAAGAAGGAATATAAGGACGTACTTCACCACACAGTCTTCCAGCTCAAGCCGTGGAAACTATAACAGTACTGCAGGGCATCAAGATATAGAGGGAACCAACACAAGCCTTCCCCCCTCCCCCCCGTCATGGCCACCTCTAGCTGTGGTGGCCGCCAGGTACAGATTAAATAGGTAAATACTCCGCATCAAATACACTGTGACAGACTAACAACTGCTAATAACACATCACGGACGACTGGTATGTGTTCTTACAGCCGCAGCAGTAAGTATCCAGTGTGCATGATGGAGAATACAGAAACGGGTAGAAAATGATAGAGTGCTCAGCCAGGCTCCTCCAGGGACTGTTAATATAAACATCATGGCAATTTGTAAAGATTCTCAAGTTATTATTTAAGAATCATTCAGGTGTTCTACTTTTATTGTATTATTTCTCCACAATGTCCTAATTACATGTGATACTTATTTATGGCATTAGAACTTCATGAAGTATTATTGAGAGTTCTTGTTTTTCTTTTAAAGTTCAAGTGCTCAGGAAATAAGTGTGTGTGTGTGTGAAACTGATGTATCATGTTAACATAGTTTTTCTCGTTATCTTAATTTGAGGGAAGCAGTGAAAGAGAGAGAATAAAAAGAAAAAAAGAGAAAGAGCAAAAGACAGAGAGAAGAGAGAGTGAGTGACCTTGCCCAGACACGGGGTGTAAGAGTGGTTCTGGTCACAGCAGGGGAGCAAGTGTTGGTAACGGCATCTAGAGAGAGCAACAGCAGCAGTAAGAGCGGAACACAGAAGGGGAACTTGATATCCTTTTTGCTTCTCTCACTAGCGGGAGGACGCCGGGTTTGGCCACCGGGATCTGAGACTAACCTAGCAATCTCCGGGGTGCTGGTTCGACAACCCACTGTACTCGTGCGTGTACGAGCCGGGGATATGTAATTAATTCTATTGTACGTGGCTCTGTGACTATCTGGGTGTATGTATTAAAGACGAGATAAACAAAAATGATTTTCCGCGTGCTGGCATTTCGAAACGGGACATAAATTGATACAGAAGAATTACAACTATCAAAGGAGTGGATACTTCATGGTGCCAGCCAGACACAGTGTTCACGGGTTACAAACCTCACTTCTTACATCACGGCGAGTGACAGGTGTGGTAAAACCGACTAATGCCCCCATTACTGTCTATGACTGCTTCCGCAACAGAAAACGCTGTTCCTGTCATTATTTCGGTAATTTGACGTTTCATCTGCTACAGTGACGCTCACAACTCGTCTCTCCGACATCTTTACTATTTTACTGTTATTGAGAAATCAGCTGATGATCCTAAGCAGAATCTACGTACTGTATGTTTGGCTCCTGAGGCTTTACAGTCAGCTGATGATGGTAAACATAAAGAGTTGCTTCTACAAGCATTGTTCCTGCCATACTGCAGCCAGTGACGACTGTAAGCAAAGCAACATTCTTCCCTAACTGGAGGCGCAAGACAGCTTCTACATGACTCATTGAAAGAAAATCCAAAAACAGCAACGACAATTATCAACGAAATTATTCTGAGACTTAACTATAACTAAAGACGTTCACTTACCCCTAATCAGTGGAATACATAATATTGCCGGAATCTGAATAACCGATCCCTGAACAAGAGGCATCTGTGTTATGGTCCCAGGATCTCTTCTGCCAGTCCCCCACCACCACACAGTCAACTGATTGTTGAAAACAAAATTGAAGTCTTGACATACAGTAGTACCAGGAGGAGACACTCCGGCGACTAACAAGCCAACACGTGCTGGGCAGCCTCGCGCACTAGATCCTTCCTCTCGTGTCAACACTGCACAGTGTTGTCTGCTGCTGCAACTTCCACTGCTCTGATAAAATGGGATAATTGATCAACCACAGATAACAACCCACGAGTATGGACTAATATTTTCCATTCAATAAAACCTAACAATAAAAACTTCTACTCTAAAATACTAAAACGTACTGCACTGTACTGTACTACGTAACGCGTTAAGTTGTGTACAATTTCTTTAATAAAGGGTCATTCGTACATTTAATGAGATTCGCCACATATTTTCATTTTCTAAACAAACATGAGTCTACGAAAGGTAACATATAACAGTCATGGTCCAGTCGGTGTGATAAACAGCGGGTGTTCTTGGTGGTCACCTCACAGTTACGTCTTCACTGTTCACTGCTGATGCACTCAATTATCCACAATGGAAGAGTTCAACGTCTTCACAATAAGTACGTTCGTTTACACACAATAGCGGTGTTACTTCTTCATCACAAGCGTGTTCAAATAATCACAATGTGCATCTTCGACACCTCACAATGGGTGACGCGTTCCAATAGGCTTTCCTCGACCTGTCGCTGACCTGGGGGAGAGGAACGCTCTCCTCCCCCACACTACACCAAGCTCCCTCCCCCACACTACACCAAGCTCCCTCCCCCACACTACACCAAGCTCCCTCCCCCACACTACACCAAGCTCCCCCCTCCCCTCACACTACACCAAGCTCCCTCCCCCCACACTACAACAAGCTCCCTCCCCCCACATATACACTCAGTGAGTTATATATCTCAGCACAGTTTAATACAGTCTGACTACCATTCAGATACAATACATTATGTCAGTGTTGCGAGGAAGGTAGAACAGGTCAAGGTCACTTATTAAATGGTCTCCAATCATAACTCACTTTGACCTGACACAACCAATATAAAAAGCCTAAGTGCTAAAGGACCCAGTTCTAATGTTTTTCAGTCCCAATTGGCCCCAACCCTAATGGACACCCCAATCTTAATGAGGTAGACCCCAGCCTTAATGATTAGGTTAGTATGGTGGTGTACTGGACCAAGGCTCAGGGGGGACCAGTTACCACAAGTCCCTGTTCCGCAACCTGATGTCCTGTCGGCAAAGTTCACGACCTATTTCAAGATCTGACCACATGCAAGAAGCAGTATTCCACCGTCACTATAACGTTCGTGCCCACAGTGAGTCAGGTGACATTTGACTAAGTTTCAATATTAGGCCGACCAGGTGTAAAGCAGGTAACACGCCCACCTTGGCCTGGCCTGCCACACACACAGACACTCCCACACCCGTGAGAATAAAAAGCGCGAGTAAGTTGTGTTGCTATGTAAGTTTTTATGCATAAATATAATGAGTTTTAATTTATATAGGACAACTTCAGGTGTTGGGAAGTGCCTCGTTGGTTTAGTCGTTCATATATTAAAAACTTGCCCAAACTTCCCAATGACACTCACACAGGACAAATGAAGCATCGGTTTTGTGCAGTTCGAACATACATAAAGTGTTCGAAGCAATGAACCGTGACGTGTAGACCCGGAGAAACACAAACAGATGACAGGTTAAATTAATGATTATTTCCGCATAGTGAGAGAGGATGGTAGTGAGATTTCAGTGTGTTGTGTGTGTGTCCAGGTGTGTCAGCGTGTGTCCAGGTGTGTCAGCGTGTGTCCAGGTGTGTCAGCGTGTGTCCAGGTGTGTCAGCGTGTGTCCAGGTGTGTTAGGGCAGGATGATAACTCAACATTGGATAGATTTCAATAGAACTTGGTCTTACAAGAAGTGACCCAGACAAGTTGTGAGACATTAAGTCAAAGGTTAACTCAGGTCTACACCCTGTTAATACTCACACGCGCACCTGAAAATAATTACAACATCTGGTTCCGGATTCTCAAAAAGTCGTATGTTATTTTATTATTCCTTTGATGTTTAGGGACGCTGATTACCAGAAGATTCGGCCCCCCCCCCCTCCAGCTTTTCACTTTAATATTAACCGAATCTAACCTGACTTAACGCTAACCTAACCTGACGCTAACCTAACCTAACCTACCTTAACGCTAAAACTAATCTGACGCTAACCTACCCAAACACTACCCTAACCTAACCTAACCCAAACTTAACCCAACCTAACCCCCCCCCCCTCAGTAATATTAGGGTGTTTAATCATCAGGTGAAATAAATTGAAGGTATAATCTTGAGTGACCCGAGACCGCTCCAAGTTCCGACAGTCACAGTGTATTCTTCCAGTTACAGTTAATGGGAGTGAGTGAGTGAGTGAGACGCATCCTAAATTTACAGTGTCGCTTTAACTAAGGATGGACGAGTC